CCCCAAAACCCCAAAACCCCAAAACCCCAAAACCCCTTAAGACTAAATTGAAATTGCTTTAATTAAAATCAAATTGATTTTTTATTAGTCTCAAGAACCATATAATCCAATCTCTTTCTTAGTCTGAATAACCCAAATCCTATTAGTAGGACCAAACAAACCAAAGTTGCTCCATATTTTCTCTAAAAGCAGCTAAAACTAAAATAAGTGTAGCAATCATAATTGTCATGAGCTACAAGATGGTGGTATTCTTTCAGAGTCTCCATGCACTTATAGATATAACTAAAAACTTGCTTGATCATTATTCCAGTCATCTCCTACTTTTTAGTCTCTGCTTTAATGTTATCCTCATTCTAATGAATTGTAAACATACTGTCCATATAGATTTTCAGAGAATATTGCAAATATGCTTCAATTTGATAAAAATTTCTAAGGAACTCTCTGAAATCACTTTTAATCATCATGAAGTTTAATGGACTCTCAAATGTAAAAACACTTGATTCGAATCTAAATTGAGTAACTACTGGGAAGTAATCTGCTTTGAGGTACTTAATAAATTTGGTGATTGTATTTTTGAAGAATTCGTTGTCAATAGCAGTTTTTTAATCGTTATAATCATCAAATTGAACATCTAATCTCCTCTTTAAGTCAGTTATAGTTACAAGCCTATCAAACTTATTTTGGAAATTCTAAACTTTAACATTCATTTTGTCTTTGTACTTATTGTTAAACTCATGAACAAAGCCTTCTAAACCCTCAGGACAACTTAATAGTTCACAATCGAAGATATAAAAAGCATATTATCTTGCTGTATAAATGTAATCAGTAAGAAGATAATTTTCAATCCTATCAAAATTCAGCTCATTTTCCTTGAATTCTTGAGCTATTAAAGAGTTAAGCCTCGAATTAAATTGATATTCGTTGAAATTAAATCTAAAATCTATTTGATTTCCCGAATATTCCTAACTTATGTCATAAGTTTCTATTAGCTATGCCTTATTATCTATACTATAAGGAAATTGTTGAATTCCATTAAATACATTGCTTGCAACAAAATATCCATGTTTGAATGAGTTTACAAGCATATCATTATTGAATTTAAATTCTTATGGCACTTCAAATTCTTATTTGGGATAAAGTTCCCCGAATTCCGGTTTGGTTATATTATTGATCGTAATGAAGTCGATTCTGAAGGAAATGTTCATATTTTCAAATAGTTGATTAATTTCAGATTGGATATAGAATTCTTTACCATCTTCATCTGAATATTCATTCAACTTTAGTTAGTTTGAACTCAAATATGGTAGTTTTATTTAACTTTATACCCCTTAAATAGTTGCTATAGTAGCAATAGTTAAAATTTTGAAAGTTTATTCCATTTTATATTAATTCATTCTATTTCTAGCAATTTAATAATTGAATCTTATGGGGTTTTGGGGTTTTGGGG